TTAACTTTGTTTTGAATTAAATTTTTCATGTCAGTTAAACCTCCTAAGTATAAATGCATAGCAGGAATTCTTGCAAGAAGGATTATGTAAAGGAGAAAGCCACTGGCTGAGCACAGCGCACTTTCCCACTGGACCATCAGCTGCAGGGAGAGTTGCATGAAAGTCACACGTTGAGCCCACCGTGGCCATGAGTGACCAGCTGGGGAATCGAGGTGTTAGCTCCAAACGAGGCAGCTCTACCTCATTGAGCCTTGGCACACATATGGGTGGTCTTCTGCTGGGTGTTGCTGGTTGTCTGAAAGGGAGAGAAAAAAGGGGGAAAGAGGGAGAAGGGAGGTAAAAAGGTAATAGAGAAAGAAGAGAAGCAAACATTGTACACCTTTAATAAGCTACAAAGCTTTTTAAAAAATAAGAACTGAGGGGCGCCTGGGTGGCTCAATGGGTTAAAGCCTCTGCCTTGGGCTCAGGTCACGGTCCCGGGGTCCTGGGATCGAGCCCAACATCGGGCTCTCTGCTCTGCGGGGAGCCTGCTTCCTTCTCTCTCTCTGCCTGCCTCTCTGCCTACTTATGGTCTCTCTCTGTCAAATAAATAAATAAATAAAATCTTTAAAAAAAAAAAAAAAGAAAAAAGAACTGAGCTTTAAAGAACAATGGAAGAAGGGCAGGGGACAGAAGACAGGTGAGGGCGCCACTGGTTGGTTCCAGGCTTGAAACTGAGCTCTGAAATTAACTCCCCATGAAATACACCAGAGACTACAGAACTTTCTCCTAAGCAGACTGAGCAACCATGAGAGACTGTCATGAGCCTCCAGAAGAAGGGGCTGTGCGCACCCCCTGGTGTTTCTTGGAGCATCTGGTAAGTGGCTGATTGGCTGCCCTCCACTCTGCCCAGTCAGATGCTAACCAGTGAGCAGAGTTTTCTGCTGCACTTTCGAAAGGACTCAATGCTTCAATGATTTCTACAAAACAGAACTCTAGAACTAAAGACCCTTCAAAAGAAAGTGCATAGGGCTGCAGAAATCTTGACTGAACGTGCTGACCCAGGCACTAATTCGTTTAGTCCTCGGCCTCTGGAGAGTCTTTAGGCGTGTCACTTTTTGAAAATGCCACTAGGTACGCAAAGGGGAAGCACGGCTAGTAGTCAGGGCCTGACAAAGACGCTGGAGAAATGCTCTGACCTCTGGGCTGGGCCACCCCACCTCCTCACCTTTTGGACAACCTGAACCAGGTTGGACAACCAATCATCAGCTGCGAGATCTATGTTGGAGAAGCCCTAAACCAGGACTTATGTTCCCCATAAGAAAATATGATTCTGACACTGGAGAACCAGTGGGGCTGCTTGATCCTCCAAAGTAAAAAGATCTCTGAGTTCCTTTAAGGGATTTCACGGGTCACTGTTCTCCTCCCCAGAGAGATCTGGGTTAGGATGATGTCTGCTACAGCATCACCAGGACTAAATCTCTGTTGGGCAGGAAATACATCACCACTTACATCATTTTCGAGACAGTGCATGAAAAATGCAAACGGGATTAAAAAAAAATTACATAAGCGGGAAATCTCTAAAGTATAGTCCGCTCTCCCTGTGGCTCTCAACTTCCCTGGAAACCTCCCAGAAATTACTTAAAAGCCTGAGAGAACACTTACCATGTAGAGACCATGGTAAAGATTCAATTCTCACAGGAAGTTCACTTATGAAGTCTGAGAACTCCACACTGGGTTAGTTTTGACCCCACCTGTAATCAGATCTCTAACTATCTCTGTGTGTGCAGTGCCCTCAAACAGGAAAATCAGGAAAAGAATGAAAACCAAAGAAACATAAAAGGCAAGGTGTAAAAGCAAGGCTCAAACATCGAAAAGAGCAGAGTTCCTTTGAAACACAGAAAATAAAATGTGAAAAGGGCCTCTGAACTTATCAAAGGCAACCTCCATTTAACAGAAGGAAACTGAGGCCCAGAACAGTAAGTGGCCCCACAGCTACTCTCTAGCCATATGAGGTCTGTGCCTCCAACAGCCACAGTTTACCATCTGAGACAGTATCCTCAAGCTTTGCTCTCTTATTATATGGTCAATATATGCCAAATATATCTCTGAATTTTCCCTTAAAAAATTCCCCTCCACTTCCTAGAATCAGGGTTTGCATGAAATTTGAGAGGTCATTACGTTCATTCTCCTTACATTCAGCAGAGCTGAGTTTCAGAAATATAACACTCACTTCCTTGCTTGTTTTTAGGTCTATAGAGAAGGAAAGTTCTCATTTACTTTGATATTGCCAAGATGTATCGATTCAAAACAATGTGGAAATACCTTTTATGGATAGTTCACTATGTCATGTCAAATGGGAAATACATTAATTAATCTGGCCTGGACCTCGCTCTCAAGATGTCCAAGGATGAGTAGGCAAGAGGAGGCTTGCACTAAATACTTACACTATCAGGCAGACAAGGGCCAGGAAATTACTGCAGGAGTAGAGAAGTTGATGTCATTATTCCTAGCTGGGGGATGGGTAAAGGGACCAAAGGCAGCTTTGAGACTGGATTAGGGTACAAGGAGAAGCAAGGGAATTCCAAACTATAGACTGTTCAATCAAATGGAAGGCAGTAGCAAACAAGGAATTCATATGGAGAAACACAAATACTTCAGTTTTGCAAAAGAAAGCATATAAGTTGGAGGGTTTACAAGATATAAAACTAGGAAGGTAGGTTTAATCCAGACTGCATAGAACCTCTGGAGCTAAGATGCTTTTTCTTTCTTCATCCTGTAATTCACGAGGAATCATTTATCTGTCCATTATACATAATTTTGAAGCAACGCCTAAATAATGGGCACCAAGGAAAGGCACTAGGGATGTAAATTTGAGAAAAAAGCATAGTATCCACCTTCATGGAACTTAGTCTTCATTGGGAATGACAGAGACATAGGCAATGATTACTGGACAAGAGAGTGAGAAAGGTCATGACAGTGTGCCCAGGGTCACAGGGGAGGGCAGAAGGCCAACTAAAATTCAGACTTGGAAGGGAACAATAGGAGCTATCCCAAAGGAAGAAACTGTGACGATAAATAATAGTTTACCTAAACAGAAGAAGAAATGCTGGGTATTCATGTAATGTTAAAAGCATGTTAAACACACTTCAAGGCGTGTTTAGACTATAAACTATATTTGAACCCCAAGCTATAGGAAACTATGAAATTATCTTGCTATCCAAAATTACATTTCAAGAAGATAAATCCGGCAGCATGATGGAGGGGGGGAAATGAAAACAGGAAAAACAAAGATCAGGTAACAACAAGACGCTTTACTTCAGAATCTAGAAAAACAACTGAGGACCCAAACTGAACGAAGTTCAAATGGGAATGTCACAGAGACAGAATTCATTCAGCTGAGCAAACCAAAATCTTAAGGAACAAAGGAAATGTCAGGCACCTCACAATTTAGAATGGATCAACCAAAACTGGGAGCAAGAAAGAAAAAGCAGACCCAGCAGGAAATCTAGCAGTAGGGAAATATGTAAAAGGTTCACAGAGAACAGAACCCACAGAGAAAGAAAGCGAACCTGGAAAAAAGGCACATCAAGAAAACAGCAGGAAGAAAGGTTTGTGCTCTGCGGAAGGTGGAATGACAAAAAGAAAGGCTCCTGGTGACAAAGACCAATGGTATCCCTCAAAAAAAGCAGCTCAGGAGAGAAGGGAGCAGAAGACACAAAATCACAAGATATTATGAATTACTGGATTGTGAAAGCTGATTACTCTTTGGAACTCTCAAGAAATTTAACATGGGAGGACAGAAGAGAGGCTGGTTATGTGAGAAGAATCATGGGAATTTTTCTTTTTTTTTTTTGTAGAGGAGACTTGAAAAAGGCTATAAGTCAGAAAGAAGAATTCATGAGAGAGAGAGAGAGAGGATTTATTCATCTTATTGACAGGAGGTTCTTATTTCTAACTGAAATCTATTATCCAGATCATTTGATTTTAAAGATGAGAACATCTAATTTACCATCCTTTAAATGGTGAAGGCCTTCCTATATTTGGGGTCTGTTATTAAATCATACCTCGGTCTTCACCTCTGGGTAAAAATACCAATCAATTAGTCCTTCCTCATGAGTTTTATTTTCCAAATGTTTAATCATCTCCATGGCTTATCCTCTGTGCTCTTTTCCATATTTTATCAAGTCTTCTTTGGGATTAAAAAAAAAAAACAAACAAAAAAAAACCCCAGAAGAGAATGCAGCAATTTAATAAAGGCTAAGCCTAGATTGAGTTTTTAAAAAGGCAGTTATAGGATGATCCCTCTATGCCAGTAGTTTGCAAACTCTTTGTTTTGCCTTCAAAGCAAAGGAATCATTTCTTCTAATTAAGTCCTCTGCAAGATAGAATGGGCTGCTCCCTTCAGAAGGAGGGTGGGCAAAAAAGAGCTGAACCCACCAGGAAGTCCCCCTCCCCATTCTGTAGAAGCTACTGCTGTCACTCCCAGCAACCCGGGGTCTGAAATCACTGTTTTGTGACATACGCTGGTGTATGTGTCCCGGTGTCCTATTCGCTGTGTAAGTCACAGTATAGCAGTGCTGAACGCTGAGTGTGCGGTTTGTTAGTTTCTCAGAATATCTATGCAAGTTAACTTTTTTTATATCATGTAAAAAAAAAAAACTCTGCCTTTGTCACTGTATAACACGTAGATCTATACTAAAACCTTTTCCTACTTACAAATGCTAAGCAGAAGCCTCACCAAATCACCCCAGACACGAGGGACCTCTTTTCTAAAGAGCTGAATGAGAGCAGCAAACCAAATGCAAACTCTGAAAGCCAGGTCACTGATGAGCGCAGACACCACAGGACACAAATACATGTTCCTTCAAATAAACGTTTCTTTTTCCCTCCCAAGAAATGTCATCATTAATAAAACTCCTTCTCTACTAAATACCCTAGAAGCACTGCATTCCAGAATGCATGAGCTGTAAAAAAGTGATAGAATCACACAAAGTATATTTGTTCACTTTGGTACTAACCTAATAAATTTAACAGCCAGGCCCAGGTCAGCTATACAACAAGTTCCATTTTTCTTCACCAGGATGTTCTTACTTTTCAGGTCTCGGTGGGCGATTGCCGGTTTGCCTTGGGTGCTAAAGATTTCTGTGTGTAAGTGACACAGGCCACTGACGGAAGAATAGGCTAACTTCAGCATCGATTTTGTATCGAGGGTGGTGGACTTCAGGTAATCATAGAGGGAACCGTTTTCATGATAGTCTGTGATTAGGTACAACTGGGTCCAGGACCCTGTCCCTTTGATATCTGCAGCAATGAACCCTAAAAGGAAGAAAGGCAAAAAGGTTTGAACCCAAGCATGTTCTGAACAATATCAAGGATAATTCATACCCCCAAACATCATTCTTTGTCACAGGTATCTTTGTTGGGCATTTCATTTGGCTTTACGATTATGCCCATGACAGTATTGAGTTATTAAAACCAATTAAAGGCAATCAAAACAGTAGAGGGAGAGAGCATTAAGAGTCTGTACCTAAAAACATGATCCCTTCCTGGTCAGTAGTTGATATTTAAGTTATTTTTACGGTCACAGTAAATAGCTCAGGCATCGTAGTTATACATAAGACACTGTTTACAAAACAGGGTCTTGAGTCGGGGCACACATGCTTTCTACTTGAATGATTCAGCTACATCATTGCTAACATGAGAGATTTTTTTTTTTTTAAACTCAGTTCTCCATATATAAACTCTGGCTATATATAAACCCTGCAGATAAAACCTCTAGAACTTTTCACAACATTTAACTGTGTGCTCCTTCAAATCCCTAAGAAACCCTAAGAAATGCTGGTGTTACATTTGCATTTCCTGTTCCTGAAGAAAAACACGGCCCATTTCCAGCCCACGAATCATTCACAGAAGTGCCTTAGTCATTCCTCCTGTGAGGTCTCCCATTAGAGGCTTGTGACGTTCTTGGGCTCAGGCCAAGAAGCCAACGTCTATATATTTCATAACAGGTCTAGACAGATGAGTTCATGGGCAGATGTGAACAGAAACTGGAGGAAAGCGAGGGAACCCTGAACACTGCCGCACCGACTCACCCAGAATGTTTTCATGCCTCATCAACACTGTCTGATATATTTCTGTCTCTCGGAACCAGCTGGCTTCCTCTGTGGTGAAGAACACTTTCACAGCTACCTTTTCGCCACGCCACTTTCCCATCCAAACTTCCCCATAGCGACCTTTTCCAATCTGTTTCACCATCTGAATCTGCTTAGCTATAGTCCTTTGGACCTGTTAAATCCCAAAACACACTGTTAGTGTATTCACAGCACTACAGATTTGTTTAATCTTCTTCTTTTTTTTTCTTCCAGAGAAGACACAATTACTGCACGCAAAATATATTTAGCTGGTAGTTTTTCTTTATATAGACACGTTACTTGTATTTATTTATTCATTTATGTTGCCCCCTTTTAAATGTATTTGAAACTGATTGTGAGTTCTGAATGTTTGAATTATTGCTTCCACATTAAATATTTCCTCTTACCTATTATAATATTCGGGGGGGAGGGGGGAGAAAGCCCTGAATGGGTTCACAGTCATTGGCAGAATAGAATACTTTTCACATCCACTTCTGCAGTGGGACACTGTGAAGGGACTCATCCACTATGCACTTGATTGTGAATGAAATACAATGAAACAAAATTGTAATGCATTGTTGGACACCCCAAAAATAAAGGGAATCTCCCAGTAGAAAGGGGAGGATAGAGGGGGGAGGGCGGGGAGAGGGAGGGAGGGAAGAGCTGAGGTCAGAGCAGGGAACAGTAAGCATTAAGAACCCACAAAAAGCTAGGTTGCTATCTGGGAGAGGAAGAACACCAGCGCTGGGATGGTGAACTCCTTAAAAGTAAAGAAACTGAACCTGGCTTCAGCATGAAGCTGGGACCATGGAGGGACACTAAATTTGCCAGAGGTTGGTAGCACACCATGGCTCTCAGCAAAAACAAATACAAATCCTCTCCTGAGAATCTTATTGGCCACCACTGCGGCCAGATGCATTAGATACCTTGAAGGAACACTTGCCACCACACAACTTGATTATGGTAAAATATAAGAAATAAAAAACTAATGAATTATTGACCTCACAAAGGAATACAGGAAATTCCCCAAGGCAGGGAGGAAAGGGTTAGGAAGGGGAGGGAGAGGAGAAGAGGGGAGGGGAGGGGAGGGAAAGTGAGGGAAGTACTCAGAGGAAAGGAAGGAAGGGAGAGAGGAAAAGAAAACCCCACAGAATAAATTCCTTAAATCAAAAGGAAACAGTCACCATAAATGAGAGTCAAGAAAAACAACCCAGGGAGGTTAAACCCCATCAGATTACAGATACTGGAATTCTCAGCTATAGAATGCCAAGGGACACTATATGCAATATGTAAAGAAACAGAAGATAAAATGAAAAGAAGGAAACAGCAAGAAATTGTTGAAAATTAAACGATGAAGTGGAATGGTTACTTGCCAAGGTCAAGAATATAAACTGGACAGGTAGAGGAAAAAGAGGTTAGATTTGGAGAGAAAGGTAAGCTGGAAGAGCGCTGTGAAGACTTACAGAGAGAGAGGCAGAGCAAGGAGAGAAAAAATAGGCAAGGAAGTGGCCTGCAGGTCAAATGTCCCTTCACATACGATTGCAGCCCATCCGCACTCACAGCAAAATATCTGAAGAACTCCATGACTGACATGGCTGAATCCTGATGACAACTGGCCTAACTCGGGAAGCATATATAAGGAACCTAGCACAGAACTCTTAGAAGATCTGTTCGGAAAACTGGAATGCACTCTTCGCAGAGATACGCTTCCCATCAGGTAAAGCTGCAGTGTTTCCTTCTGTTTTTACACTTTGAAGGACTATGTGACCTACACTGAGTCCACCCAGATAACCCACAGTAATCTCATCTCAAGGTGAGCTGACCAGCAGCCAGTAAGTCTCCTTTGCCAGGTAAAATAGCAGATTCCGGGAATTAGGCCGTTTGGGGGGTCATTAGCATGCCTACTGCAGATGTCCACCAGGGACGGTGGGTCCTGTATTTGCATAATAGATGATTTTGTTAATTCAAGAGGTAATACTAACCACTGCCAGAGCCATTAACAGCACCAATATCAGACTGAAAGCTTTTTGGGAAAAGATAAAATCTTTTTTTTTTTTTTAATGTTATCTTCTAGAAAGAAGGATTAAAAAATCAAAAAGCATTGCTGACATGCAATTCAGCCACTTAGTCTGAAGGAAGTAAGGAACAATTTAGGAGTCAAACATGCCATACAAGGAAACGTTCAGTGTATTTCCATTTTCCAAATGGGGGAACAGAAGCATCAAGAGCACTAAGCAGAGGAGAGCCAAATCTGCTAGCAGTTAAATTGCGGACTTGAGAGGAAACTTCCCACATTTATTACAGAAATATTATATTTAATTTACAGATGTTACAAAGCATTGCTTATGTAAATCTATGGAGCATTTACTAACACAAACAGTTTTGTATTTGCTTCTTTTCTAGCAATAATATATCTTCTTATAATTTAATGAACGTACTAATGGAATTGGCAATGCTTGAAAGACTAGGAATTTATCTCAAAGATAAAAAGTGTCACTAAATTATATTCAGAAATTTAAAGTGTACTTTTGGTTTGAGACTTATCGTAACATCTAAGGAGGAAAACACTGGCAAACAAGCAGGTTTCAGTTCCGAGAGCATAAACATCTGATTTGTTAATACTAGAAAGGATTTTCATATTTGTACTTTTCTTTTTAAAAAAAATTACAATCCAGGTTTCTAAATGTGAAAATTGTATCTGCTATATATTAAATTAAAAAAAATTTGATAATAAAAACTTCTACATTAAAAAAAATCTACATCCTACGTAGTATCAGTTGGCTCGTAATGACTACCTCACTACTTGCTTTCTGTCCTATCACCCAGCGAGGACATATTAATCAAAGAGAACATTGTTTCACTTATGCAAGATGGGTCAGGCCTAGGGATCTGCTGCACAGCATAGTGCCTAAAATTAACAGCAGCAGGGTGTTGTATTCTTAAAATTGAAAGAGTAGATCTTACGTTATGTGTTCTTACATGTAAAATAAAAAAATAAATAAATAAATAAAGAGGGCAGAAGGAAACTTTTGCAGATTATGGATATGCTCATGGCATAAGTTGGGGGTATAGTTTCATCAATGTATACTTATCCCCAAACTCTTCCAGCTGCACACACCAAATACATACTTCTATACATTAAATACATATAGGTTTTCTATCTCAATAAAGTTATAATTCTTGCCTTGAGATTAAAAAAAATTTTTTTTTAGTACTAAAATAAAAGGTCACCAAAACAATCAAGTAAACATGATATCCAAAGTCAGAACCAGACAATAAAGATGAGGAAAATTAAAAAAAAAAAAAAATGAGGAAAATCAATCTTAAGAGTTTGTGAAGGAAAATAGTTCCATTAAAATTGTTATTTTCCATCCCATCAATCTTTTTGCATGGTCTATAAAGGAACCAAATGCTTTTTTCATTAAAACAAGTGCCTTGGATGCATTCTATGTTTTCTTCAAGGTTGGCAGTGCGGACCATCAGAAAATTAAATCTCTCATGAATGGAAAAGCCAGGACTTTGCCCTGAAACATAAGCTCTCCAGCTGAAATGCAGTATTCTTCCCCTGTAGTAATACTCAGATCCCAGTGGATTGTAATACTTTTGCCTTCAAACACCAAGCCAAAGTTCGGTAATGCTATCCTTACTGAAAACAGAGGGGAGATGATCCCACGTTTACTGTTTTCTAATCTGCTCCTTATCAGAATGTCTAACCATACACTTACATTAAAAAACAATCACCTTACCCCCAGTATGTCAAAATGTTATCAGGAAGCCCTGCATCTGAGATCTGATGTCTAATCCACTACGCAGAGCTCCTCTTTGTCCTCTACCCTCTCCGTTTCAGTAAAATGAAACCCTGTGGTTATCCACATTTCCTCTCAGAAGGCATTTCCTTTAAATTTGAGACATGTTCTTCTCATACCAGCAGAGGGAGGCCTGATCCACTTCCTGAGCTTTGAGACTGCTCAATTAAGTCTCTCAGGGATTCTCCAGGAGGAATGTACGTTTCATCCTGCTCTAACCCGATGCTGTACCGAGGTCTGGTTTCTTGTCTTTTATACCTAAAGACCCACAGAAGAAGGTAATTAAGATGCAGCAATGGGAGTAAAACACTGCAGATAAAACAGTAATCACAGCAGATTTCATTTTAGCACAAAAGAAGATAAATTTTTAGTATTCATTATCCTTCATTATCATTTCTAAAACACAAAACATAATTATTTTGCTAACCTATTTTTAAGTCAACTACATGTTTTTACTTGATCTCATCCATCTATAATTCTTCTCCATTCAACGGCCTATTTGCTGGCAAGGATTCCAAAAATATTTCTATATAGCTTCAATACTCATTCCCTAAAATTTTTCCCTCTAAGGTCTTTAATTAAAGATGAATATTTAGGATTTACAGAAGACATAAAAGCTAACTCTCTCATCTCAGGCAATGTATAAAGCAATAATATAAATAAATGAAATAAATTTCAACTTTAGAAACATTTTGTCAATAATTAGCTTCCAATTAGAAATGAATTTACTTGAATCAACTCCTACTTGCAGAACAGTATCATAAATGAGTGTTAAAAAAAGCAAATGTAAAAATTTAAACGTCCTTGATATATCACAGAATAGAAAATAAGTTCTTAGGTGTATGAAAATAATTCGTAACTGTCACTTAACTTCAATAGTCAAGTTTATTTTATCTGAATAACTAATTTATAAATTAGTTGAAAATTCTCCCATATTAAGAGGAAATTGTTAGCTTGGGAAATAAGGGATTTCTGGAGTGATTCTCAGTTCAACATGGCCATTTCTTCACTCAGAATCAAACCTTAGTAACAACTAGATCCTGTATTCCTTAACTACCCTAAATTCCCTAAGAGTGAAATTTACCTGGGTGACTTTGATGTCTGAAGCAGAAATGAGACAGTTATCCATTAACAGCTTCATTAAGACAAATATCTATCAATAGTCACTGATATTATCAGGGAAATCTAAGATTAATTAAGTCAAAGAAAGTGGTGGTGAAAAACGTTAACTGGTAGAACAGTCACGTGAGGCCGATATTTTAAACTCAAAATTCTACATCTAGATATTGGAAACTTACCTGAAGTAACAGAATAAAATAATAAGGACCAATAGCAAACTACAGACGGTTACAGATATAAGTAAGGCCTTGTGGTGTATAGGTCCGTCAACAAAATCTGAAATTAAAAAGAAAAGGAGCCATAATACGGAGGATATTTTCACTTGAAAATTAGGAAGCAAATCTTTCCTAAAAGTGTTGGCTAAGCCCCCTATGCAAGATGTCCCAGGTCCTTTTAATCTGCCTACAGAGAAGAACAATATGGCGTATTGCACAGTAAATATATACACATATATTCAAAATTATTAGAAGCTCAACTAGTGTGAAACATAATTCATGTAGGCATTTGTTTCTTGTTTCAAGAGCATGCATTTCTTCCCCTCTGGAAGGAACAGGCTTGACACAGAATAGAAGTACAGAGTATGAACAAATGAAAGTGGATCAAGGCCTCCAAAATGTAAGTAGGTGGTTCATCTTTATCTCAGATCCAGCTGATGGGTTTACAGGTTTTTCTCATGTGGTTTCTGAAGTGTTCCATATCATGAGTTTGGGCAAAAAACCCTGATCTATATTCTTTGTACATGAAACACACACAGTCATCTTATGATGGGTACAAAGCAACAGGGTTCCTCAAAGGTTGCCGAATACAGAATATATGGACGTGCACTGCTTTAAACAAAGATGCCTTTCAAAACCACATAGTTAACTTTTCCATAAACTGCATCATATTTTAAAAGAATGGGCATGTGCTACTCAAAGAATTATTGTGTGATCCTTTTATAAAACAAATTATTAAATATTATTCATGTTGTTTTAACTCCAGTTCTTGACAAATCAGATTTACTTGCAAAATGACTTCTCAAACTTCATATAAATAAGAGTAACTTGGAGAGCTTTATACAAATGCATATTTGCTGAATTCAGCCTCAGAGATTTTTATTCTGAGTATTTTATTTTTTACAATCATCCCAGGTGATTTATATGCAAAGAGTCTCTGAAACATATTTTGAGAAAACTGACCTAAAACCAGGTGCACTTATGTAGTAACAGAATTAGCAGTGTTCTTATTATGGGCACCATATACCCTTGAGAAAGTGATTACTGTTATTTAATTTTTAAAGGTATTACTCTAATTTATGACTTCAGTTACTATGAATAAGAAATTTTCCAACAGTGCTGTATACTTTTAAGTGCATGGCTACCTAAACATTTCGGCTGGGGACCTTATCCTATTCAATGTAACAATTTTTTTAAAAGAGTTTATTTATTTATTTGACAGAGAGAGATCACAAGTAGATAGAGAGGCAGGCAGAGAGAGAGAGAGGGAAGCTGAGCAGAGTGCCTGATGCGGGGCTGGATCCAAGGACCCTGAGAGACCATGACCTGAGCTGAAGGCAGAGGCTTAACATACCGAGCCCCAATGTAATATTTTTTTCACTCAAAAGTTTACATATCCCATGAATAAAAACTAAAAAGCACCAACTAATGAAATCAATAAAACCGCCACCATCTCATTATTTAAGAAAATTACAACATTTTAACCTATGCCTTTGCAGTATCATTTCAATGAACAGAAAAAAAAATTTATTAGCATAATATCCCACAAGGCGGCCTTACATACACTCATGTCCATAGAAGATTTATTCACAACAGCTAAAACATGGAGGAAGACCAACTGTCCACTGACAGATGAACGGATAAGCAAAATATGGTATATGTATGCACACGCACGGACTACTATTCAACCTTAAAAAGGAAGTAAATTCTGACATATTTTACAACATGGTGAATCTGAGGACATTATACCAAGGGAAATAAGCCAGTAATAAGAGGACAGATATTGTGTATGATTCCACTTCTATGAGATACTTAGGTAGTCAAAATCAAAAGACAAAAAGTAGAATGGTCGTTGCCAGGAGCTCAGGGGAGTTAATGTTTAATGGGTATAGAGTTACAGGTGGTAAGATGAACAGAGCTATGGAGATGGAGGAGGGTGATGGCTGTATAACATTATGAACATATTTAATACCACTGGACTATCCACTTCAAAGTGGTTTAGATAGTAAATTTTATGGTATGTGTATTTTACCACAATAAAAAAAACTTAGGAAAAAAAACACTGTTGCTCGCTAGATTATTTTCATTAGTAATTTGTGAATATTTTCCAAAACAATAAATTTTTCCCATAACATGAGTTTTAAAGACCACATAATATATACACAGACACATCCTAATTATAAAGTGAGTCTTCTGATAATAGATATTTAGAAGATTGTAAAGATTTTTCTATAATACATCCTTGCTGTAATATATAAAATTTTGTGGACACTCTTAAAGGTACATCACTGCACATGTCAGTGATTATTTCCTTAATCTAGATTTCTAGAAGCATAATTATTCAAAGAATATACATTTTAAGGTTTTTCATACATTTTGTCAAAATATCCGTTAAAAAAGATTACAATAGTTTCTATTTCAACATCAGTGTGAACATATGTTTTAATTATGTTGAAATAATTTCAGTCTTATAGAAAACCTGTGAGGATAAAGAACTCTAATGTGCCCTTCCCAGAGAATTACCATTTTTAAAATTTTACCTTGTTTGCTTTATAATTCTCTTGCTCTCTCAGTATGGGTATCTGTGTGTCTGTCTATATATATATACAAATATATACATATATATGTATATATTTGCATTCATATTTATATTTATTTATATGTATGGTTTGTAGATCATTTGAAGTTACGGATATAATGTTCCTACCCATAAACACTTCAGGATGCACTTCCTAAAAACAAAGACATTGTTTTACAAAATGGTAATGAAATTATCAAAATGAAGAAATTACCATGAACATATAAACTGAAAATAAATCTTACTTTAAAATATCTGGATTTTTGTTATAAATTAAAATCCACAGGTCTTTATACTAAATTCCAAGTCCAAATCCTGTTACGATTAATGTGGTAATTTACTTATCAGCCTAGAACATATGTTTAACAATTACTTATGATCTACACTACTTACAAAATATTAATGGAAGTAGTCTGCCTCCAAAAAGACTGTAAGAGGCCATTAAAGAAAAGCAGCTTGATATCAACAACTTCAGAAACAATGCCAATGGTCCAGATAAAAAGGAGTTCAGGACCTTGACCCATTTTTTGGACAGGTCCAAAAAACCATTCGGGCTCAAAAGACCACAGAGATTGTATAAAGTAGCACATGCATGTCTAAAAGTGTTACTTAGGAAATCCTGAAAATAATTTGCAGACTCTTAAAGAGGCCAAGATTTTTATCTAATGAATTGTTTAGCAAAATTTCCCTCCATTAGGCTGTAGGCAATAAAGTCCAGGTGAGCACAGTCCCTCTGCTGGGGAGAGCCCAGTCCGCGGTGTTTACACACAGGCAGGTGCACAGAAGCCACGGCGCACGTGCACATACGTGCAAACACGGTCGCTGGAAACTTCGCATAAAACATGTTTCCAATTTTAAGGATAACAAAAGCAAAAAGCCTTAATTTGGAAAAAAAAAAAAAAAGAGAGAGAGAGAGAATGCTGGATACAATTAAAACTGCAAGAACTAACTACTTAAGCACAATGGATAACCAGTATCTGCATAGAGAACATTTTGTCATTCAAGTGATTAATTGCACTGAACCTCTCAGCCTCACTGCCTCTTAATTTCCATGTAAGTGCAGAATACACTCTGAATTCATAGAACACTGTATCACCCATCTTATTTGATATCTGATTTATGAGAGCAACGAGACTAGAAAGGATCTAAGGGATTCTTTCCTCAACCATCACACAGTTTTTTCCTCAAGCTAGCATTAGCTCCCATTTTCCTTTTCTTTGCCCCAATAACCCTATTCCCTGCAACCTCATCTACTGCCTCCTTGTCTTCCAACATGAATAGGCGATCCTTATCAATAAACCTTTTGTTTCTGTTGGTCATGCTGGTCATGTTTTAATCTGCCATTACCTGTGCTCAGAGCATTAACAATGTAAACATTCAAGTCACTGCCAGAGTCTCAGAAAGCGGAAAGCGAACCCATCCAGATTCCTATCAGGAAAAGAACAGAGAGCACAGTTCTCTCCGGGACAGCAGATTTTTACCTGCGCTGTCACTCCAGCTGCTCAAGGAAGTAGAACAGAGAAGCCTCCAGGGAAGTCTGGCTCAGTCTTAGAAGCAAGTGAGAATCACTGGTGGTTTTTTAACAAGATAGCATTCTGTCACTACTTGTCTCTTCTCTAATCAGTAAGCAGTTTCTAACTGTTAAAAATGGCAGGGACTGTTTTCTGTTTGTTTGTTTGTTTGTTTGTTTGTTTAATAAGGCCATAAGACGGTTCCTAATTGCAATAAGAAATAGAAGAAAAAAAACCCTGTAGCTAGAACAGATCTTGGAAATAAGATTGCCCAAAGACATCTCTGCATGTGTTCTCAATATTATAATCATGGATAAATTAGAGACATCTTTCAATTAATAAAGCACAAAACACCTGAAAAGCATATTTTTATCAGGATTTTAGTCAACAAAGAATATTGTAAAAGTAACTTACTTTCATCTTACACTGGGGTTCTTTGTTATAGTAACATCTATAAATAAATTGACTATAACAACAAAGACATAATTTTCTAGTTATTTTCCTGAATAAAAATATTTAGGATTATACTTCTTGGAAACACAGTAGGTTAAGACGGATTTTGTTAATGGTAACTTTATTATTTACTTATTTTTTCTTATTTCTACATGCAGGTGACATACAATGTACGTTAGTTTCAGTGATTCAACAGTTCTGGACGTTAAACTGTGCTCACCAGGATAAGTGTAGTTACCATCTGCACCATACGATGTTATTACAGTATCGACTAGACCTGCCATACTGTATTTTTCATACCCATGACTCATTTATTTTGTAACTGGAACTCTGTGTCTCTTAATCCCAATCAGCTATTTGACCCATGCTCCAATCCCCTTTTTTCTGGCAACCACCAGGTTGTTCTCTGTATTTATGATGCTGAGGACAGAATTTTTATATCCAGATTACTGTGTTCCATTGAGAAAGAAAAAGACTAATTATTTCTAAATTCCTTTCATCTGTCTCAAATACAAAATT